TTCATTGTTGAAGACCACTTGTCGGTTCAATGGCCTGAAATCTCCTCCGTCCAGTTTGAGATGGTAAACTTCTGGGCTTTTGTTGTCCAGGTTAAGCTCTTCCATCGTTGCTTTTACAGTTCGGACTTTCCGTGAGTCCTGCTGTCCCAACTTCTGTTGATCGGTTAAGTTAGCCGACGTCGGTTGCATTGTTGACAACTGCTGGACGACGACTGTTGGAGGTCGGAGGTCGGTTTCTTCCGGTTGTCCTCCTGCCCATTCGAATAAGGCTACCAGTTGATCCTGTTCGGCTTGCGTTTCCGGGTCAACTGGTTCGGGTTGCTCGGTCGACTGTGTATCGACTATGAGTTCCGTATGGACGATCGACCGTAGAGCAGTTGTTAGCCTTACGTCGAAGGTCGGTTCTTCGTCCTCCGACGACGATTCGTCCGTATCGTCGTGTCGGGGTTTATCCGTCCTGCAATGACGGACTGACGGGTCGAATTCTTCGTCGTCATCGTCCTCTTGGGATTCTTCCGAAGGTCGGTTATCGGAGTCCGTGTCTGCCGAATCGCTCGTGCTTGGTACATCTGAGCCGTCCGACTCGCAGGGTTCAAATTCAATGGCCGATCCCTCTTCGTCGAGTTCGACCTGCGGCATGTTACCGTATCCGGCCTGTGTGGGCGGTTCGGATTGGTCAACCATATCCGTCGGTTGGGTTAGTCGACTCGTTGCATCCTGATTCTCAAGGTCGGTTGGCCGTGAGTCTGTGTGGCTCGGCCATCGGATGACTGTCTGTTGAGTCTTCCGAGAACGGTCTACCTTCCGGTCCGGTTGCGGAGGTGCCGGTGACGACGGTCTGCCGTCCGACCAAGTCAGGTCGTGATGAGCCTTTATGGCTCGTACCACTCCGTTAATATTGTCTTGACAGATGATACACCGATAGGGTTTATCGGTTTCTTCCAAGAGGACGTTTTCATCAGGTTTGGGTAAGCTACTGATGAATTTTACTTGATTTGGGGAGTGTTCCATGGTTGGTGGTAACGGATCGGGGATTCGCCGAGTTATGGTGATGTCCTCGCCGTATCTTTGCCAGAACGCTGTTGTTCCGGTTACTCCGTACTGCCGTAAGCGTTGCAAGTAGGAGAAGAGTTGGCTGCCTAGTTCATGGCAGCACGTCTCCAGTGGGCGCGGTATGGGGAGTCCGTACTCCATATACTGTCGATGGATCGGAACTCGTTCATCTTCCCATTCCCACGCTTCGTCGTCTATGTCGTTTGCAAGGGCGATTACAGGCTCGCATCTTTGTTGTGCTTCCTGTATCTGGTCAGGAGTTACCGCTCCGTTCTGTTGCATAGTGGCCACCATCTCCGACGTCCGTTGGTCGAGGAAATGCCGTACTCCCGAGAACCAAGTTCGGTACTTTTGTCGTACTCGTTCTAGGTTCTGGGCATCCGCTTCAGCGGATGCCTCTGGTATCGGGATAGACTTCAGTACGGTCTTCGCCGATCGTAGTTGTCCGGTGCTTTTTCGTCCTTCATACGCTTCGATGGCGTTGTGCAGCTTAAGTTCCTCAATCAGAGTCCGGTTTGTGTCCCGGCAGTCACGGCAAATGTTTCGCGAAGATTCCGTCAGCTGGCCAAGCTGGTTTACCCTCGCTCCACTTATTACCATGTCCGATGCCTCTGGTATCGGGATAGACTGCACTACCGTCGTTCCTTCCGGTGGTTCCGGGTTAGGGATCGGTGTTAAGATGAAGGTGAACTTCGAATGCAAGTAGTCGCATCCGAGTAGCACTGGAATGTCCGCTTCGGTCGGCTGGACGTGGAAAGTATGGTGACTCGTAAAGCCCTGCATTGTCACAGGTGCCGTACAGCAGTGAGTGACCATAAAGGCGACTTGTCCGCCTAAACCGAGTATTTTGGTGTAATGTCCGAGGGGTTGCATCGTTAAACCGTTCCTCTCGCAAAATCGTTGTTCGATGAGCGAAGTCTCCGCTCCGGTATCCAACATCGCCAATGTGGGCGTGGATCCGACTTAAATTTCGTGTGTCCAAGCTCTAACCGTCTTCGGCTTCTTATGAGTTCCCTTCTCGAAGGTGACTTCCCGTACCGTTGGTTTAATCGGGATCAGTGACACCGGTCCGTGGTCGGTTAGCTGTTGAATTGAGCCTTGTGTAGGTTCAACTCCGACTTCAACCACGTCTTGTACCTCAGGTCGGTTCATGACTCCGTCCGTCGGTGCATTGGTAGTTTCGAACCGTCGTGTCTGTCCGGCTGCTGTTCTAGCTGGTTGCTTGTGTCGTTGTTGGAAGAGGTCCGCCACTCCCGGCCGAGAGTAAACGGGTACCTGTGCCTCCAGTGGGACTGTCTCCCATTCCTCGATTCCTCCCGGTTTTTCGGTGAGGTCGATGGCTGTCGTCGTTGCAGCGTATCTATCCGTTGTACGGGCGGATGATACATTGGGGTAGTTTCTGTTGCCCCTGTGCGTGGATCGGCGTCCCGGTCCTCCACGTCTTGTGCCTCGTTTGGACTGCTCGGTTGAGTTTATTCTCACCGGCAATCCGGTCCAACTTCCGTGGCCGGGCCGTACTGCGTCACTTTGTGTGGCAGACGGCACAGTCGCATTGTTCGCGCTGCGTAAGTCGGGCAATTCCTGCGTTCCGACCTCCGACGTTCCAACGCCAAGTCGAGGCGCTGGGTCGGCCGTTCCGGGCAATACTTGCGTTCCGACCTTCGACGTTCCAACGCCAAGTTGATGCGCTGGGTCGGTTGGGGCGGGCATTTCTTGCGTTCCGGTCCGGATCTCAATTTCACCATTGTTGATGAAAATGCCGAGTTCGGCTGCTATAGTTCGAGCAGCCGTCGCCTCCTGTGTGGGGGCCGACAGCGCCATGAGGAATTCTTCCTCCGTGCACCTGTTCCATTCCAGTCTTAATGCGTTTAGGACTGTTACTATCCGTTTTTGTAACGGAGTAAAGTTCGGTTCGTTCCGGGAAGTAAGCGGCTGGTTAGTGGGGTTATCCTTGTCCGGTGGTTCGGTGGGATGTTGGAGGTCGAATGAGTCACCGGAGCTCATCGACCTTAGGCGTTTCCCGGGGAGTTGCCCCGAGCCGGCCCATTGTTGGGCGGCGTCGAGTCCAAGGACTGGCGGGGCGGCAATGGTTCTCTGTATGCCGGGGACCCTTGTTGGTTCCCGCCGCTATTCCTGCGGTTTCCGCCATTTCCTCTGCCAGGCGACCGGTTTCCGTTACCGGGGCCGCTCGAGCCACCAGCCTGTTGCTGGCGAGGCCGCGGTAGTGGCACAATATCCCGCCAGTATGGGTTGTCCGAGCCAACCGGGCCATCTGTCGTGTATCGGCGGTACCAATCGTTGTACCACCGAAGATTCGGGTTGTCAGCCGGTCGGTTGCCGGCATATCCGCAGCGCGCTCCGTCGTGGTTGTTAAACATGCAATATCTGCATGAAAACGTTCGTTCCCTGGTCCACTTGAAAAACGCTGCTTCCATTTTGTCTACGTAAGTTGTAGACTGCCGAGCACCGCCGCGGTTGGAGAAGGTTCCATAGCCGCCTCTCTGGCCGGCTCCGCGTCCGTAACCTCCGTCGCTATATCCCTGTGTGGGATCCTGGCAGTATGAAGAGTATTCCGGCGGCCCATGCGGCTGATATACGGTCTGTTGCGGTGTCATTGATGGTGGGGTTTGAGTCGGTACGAGCGTTGTGGCCCGGACTCTAATGTAGTCACTGTCCCGTGAACCCCTTGCCACTTCGTACATTTCCTTGCCGTTGACAAACTGCCTTATAAAGTCGCGAAGTTCGATCGGTGTCTTCGGCATCCTAATTTCCAGGGCTTCCCGTAGTCTGGGTTCGAGGATGTTCTCCTTGAGGTAGTAAAGTACCATCTCATCCGTGATGTTGCGGACCTGGGACTTGATGTACATCATAGCGTCGTAGTACTGTTCCGGCGTCTCTTGTCCGAAACGGTACGTGCGTTTAGCCATCGTCGTCATGGCGTTGATTTCCCTGTTCTTATCCGCAAATCGTTCCTCGAATTTCGTCAGCCACAGGTTGACTGGCCATCCACCGAGCGGTTCCTCGGCGGCTGTAAGTGTGTGCCATTCCTCCGCTTGGCCCTTGAGTTCGGCTGCCAGGTCGGCCATGAAGGTCTGATCGGTCTCGTACCACTGTTGGGCTTGCCGGTGCAGGCTGCGAATCTGTTTAAGCCACCGGTGTAGTTTGGTGTGGTCACCATCGAACGACGGCATTGGTTGCCTACGTCCGTGAGCCATTGCTCGTACCATGGCCACATGTGCGGGGTCCTGTTCCAGAGGAATCGGCTGTGCTATTGGTGCAGCTTGTTGTGCGACCGGGGCAGGTAAGGGTTCGGCATGTGGCATCCGACCTTGTTGGTCTTGATGTGCCGCTTGATGATAGGCCGGTTCATGTTGGCCGTCATATCCATACTGTTGCGGATGCGGTGCGTGACGAGGCTGCTCTGGCCGACCTCCATACTGGTTCTGTTGTGGGGGCGGCGTCCGAGCCTGTGATGTCGGCTGTCGTGGCCTCGGTTGTTCCGAGTAGCCTTCATACGCCTCCGGTCGCACTTGTGGTGCCGGAATCGTCCGTAAGGGTGGTGGGTAGAATCCCCTGGGCTGTTCGTTAACCCTGCCGTATAAGTTGGGTTGTGTTCCTCTCGACGGCAATCGACTTTCCGTTGGTCGATATGGCGGTGCCCGGCTTTGTTCCGGGTAGCCAGTTGGATGGCGGGTCGACTCCTGTTGGTCGTAGTATCCGCTCTGGTCGGCCATGTTGTGTGACCGAGTCCTTGATCGCTCGTAGTCGAACCCTCGTTGGTTCGGGCGATCCATATTTCCCATTTCCGGGTGAAAGTTCGTTCGTTCTCCCAATAACCGTCGTTGTGGGCGGTTAAAGGGAAATCCCCTCGGCGCTTCCGCTCCGTCGCTGTTGTCAGGGTGGGACGCGGTGGGGATCGGCGCGTGCATTGTTGTACGCGTCGAAAACTAGGTGCTCGTATTCGCACCAGCCGTTGCTGTCGTCGTAGTCGGCACGTTCGAGGTCGGGACGTACGACGTCGTTGTTGACGTGTTACGCTCCGGCTCGGGCTGACTAGGTACCGGATTCGGTTGTGAGTGCGCTCCGGTGGACGGGTCGGTTGTGACGACTCCGACGAAGTAGGATGTGTTTGTCTCCTTCTTCCACAGTTCTTGGGCCGGATTATTGCCCCACAGGATGTCGCGCATTGTTTGCGACTGGTGGTAGTCCTGTGCCATGGACGTCCTGTAGGATGGGGGGTCGGCCCTGGTTTGTTCCAGGTCCTTCTTTTCCTCCCGAAGGCACCGGATCTCGGTGTCCAACTCGTCCATTTGCCGCATCATCTCTGTGATGTTGCTGGCTGCTTCTGTGCCGTAGTCGAACAGTTCGTTCTCACGGGCTTCAAGGTACGCGATGCGGTTCCGTTGCGCTTCGTTCACCTTGTGAGCTTCGGCCATGCTGTATTCCAGCTGAGCTCTGAGTTTCTCCTCTTGTTTGAGGTACTCGTTCAAGCCGTATACCTGGTCGGTTAACTGTGTGTTAGCTTCCTCCAGGTCGGCAATGAGGGTTCCTCGTTCCGATGGTCGGCCATGGTGAGCTGGACTTTGTTGTCTGCTCCTGGCCGTCAGAATTTCCAACTCCTTTTGGAGTCGGTCGGTCAGTTGTCGGAGCTGGTCGACCTCGTTGTCGGCCCGCTGCAGTTCGACGATATACCGATCCACTTCGTTGCGGTATACTTCGGCTTCTTCGTTAGCCCGATTCAACATTTCGTCGAAGTGTCCCGCGGCTTGTTCCGAGGCGACCAAGGCTGACTGTGTGTCGGCCAGTTCTTTCTCTGCAGCTTCGAGTTGTCTGCCAAGTTGGAGGACGGCCTGTGTTGACCGGTCCAACTTGTCGTTAAGGTTGGCGACTTCGTTGGCGTCGTACCGACAAGGTCCTTCGAATCGTTTCAGGAGGGCCTTCAGCCGGTCCATTTCCCGTTGCTGGTCGGCAATGACCTTGTTGAGGCCTTCGTTCTCGGTTTCCCACCTCTTCCGTTCGAGGCGGTGAGTTTCTGCCGACCGTGCGGATGAGCCTTCTGCTGAGTTTACGAGTTTGTCGGCCAGCACGATCTGTGTGATCTGCTGGTGACATCGTTGTCGAAGTACGTTGATGTCATCGATCTTCTCCGGCGGTGTTGCCGAAGTCCACTTCCGTGCTGTGTATTCCAGCAAGCCGGCGTCGTATCTGTCCTCGTTGGACTTGGCTGGCGTCTGGAGAGACTCATCCAAGCTGTTGGGTAATGATACCATAGTGTCGAAGACGTCGTCAGTTGGCAGTGATGTTTCGCTGTCCGAGTCTCCGACGGCAAACCTAGGGAATGCTGTTCGGTTGACAGGTCGGCTTGTTGTCGACTTCCCCTTTGTTTGGGTCTCTGTTGTTCGGGTCGACTTATCCATTGTTGGTAGAGGTCGACTCGATGGTGAAATAACCCGTTCGTTGGGTACCGGTATGTTGGTCGGTGATCCAGCTAAATGAGGGCCGCTTCGTGGCGGCACTTCGGATTCTTCCGTTCTGACCGTAGGTTTGGTCGGCTGGACTCCGATGTCCGACCTGTTGTCGGTTGGTTGTTGTTCTGGGTTGGTCGGCTTTGGATGTCCGACCTCCTTCTGTCCGACCTGCGTGGTCGGATACTGTTGTCCGACCTCCGTGGTCGGTCGCTGTTGACCGACCTTCGAGGTTGGTGATGTCCTTCCGACCTGTGTGGTCGGTTGGACTTTGCCGACTTCTGTTGTCAGCTGTTCGACTTCGGAAGTCGGCTTATGTTGGCCGACTTCGGAGATCGGACTTTGTTGTCCGACTTCGGACTTCGGACTTTGTTGTCCGAACTCCTTTGTTGGTGGTTGGTCGACCTTCCGTTGGTCGACTTCGGAGACTGGGCTTTGTTGTCCAACTCCGGAGATCGGACTTTGTTGTCCGACTTCGGACTTTGGAGATCGGACTTTGTTGTCCAACTCCGGAGATCGGACTTTGTTGTCCGACTTCGGACTTCGGAGATCGGACTCTGTTGTCCGACTTCGGAGATCGGACTTTGTTGTCCGACTTTGGACTTCGGAGATCGGACTTTGTTGTCCGACTTCGGAGATCGGCGATTTCCGACCGACCTCCTTGGTCGCCTCGCCAATGTTGGACGAGGTCGACTTCGCTTTAAAAGCGTTAGATCGAACTATCTCCTTTGTGGAGATGTTCAATGATGTCAGGAACGTCTTTTGGTTCTTGAACTTCCGAGTGTCAGGAACGTCCGGAGAGATGTTGTTGTTGTTGTTGTGTCTGTTGGTGACTCAGTACACAGGGTTATAATGCAGTGCTATAGTACAGTACAATATGCTATAGTAATACGGTAGCGTACGTCCTATACTACTGTGCTGACCAGTATGACGTAACAGGGTTAAGTGGTCTTGCACTTCACTGCCTACGTCACGAATAGCGAGCCGCGTTCAAAATTCGAGAAATGATGACTCACGCCTATGTTATGGGAAGTTTCCCTTGCACGCTGATTGGCTGGCGCTAAAGTACTGAAAATCGGTCGTTCTGACGTCACAAGGAAATTCGAAGAATTTTTGCGCTATTTTCGTTAGCGAGACAGATTATTCTTAGTCGGCCAAAAAGTTTATTTGGTCGGATTTTACGAATCTAATCCGTCAGAACTAGGTTTTTCTATTTTTAGAATTTTTCTGGCGGTCGAAACGCCGTTAGAAATGAAAAGAAAGAAAATTTTCGACCTGTTGTCGGTTAGCCTTTGTTAGACAGTTCGTTGACCTAGCAGGTCGGATATTCGTCGAAAGTAAAATTCTAGGTCGGTTTCTCCGCTAGAAATTACTTTTTCACCGTTCGAAAATTTAATTTAACCGTTAGAAATAGTTTTCTACCGTCAGAAAGTTGAAAGCCGACCTAGTTACGGCTAAAATCGACCTAACCGTGACTTTACCAGTGTCGGTGTCGGTGTCGGTTTTGGTCGGTTTCCTCCGTCCGAGGTCGGAAATCCGTCGTTTTCCGTCGAATTCCTCCGTTAAAGTTGCGGGTCACCGTTCAAGGTGAAGGTCCCCGTATTAATGGAGTAATCCTGCGCGCTGCAGACTCTCGTTCGAGTCTGGTCCGTCAGTTGGGAGAAGAGAAATCCGTGCGTTCGGGATACGTGCTCTTCAATGTGGAAGAGACAAAAGTTCTGTGGCTCACCAGCTGGGCAGGAATCACTTCAGTGATCCCCGTTTCACCACAGCTGTAAGACGGCAGATCAGTCCGATCAGAAGTCAAGGCGGAGGCTGCTTCAGCAGTCGATCCGACAGTGACTTTTGGTTCCTGACGAGTTCTCCGAAAGTGAAGCCTTCACCGTCTCCTCAGATAGTCCGAAAGATCGAAAACCATATGAATCTGCTACCATGTAACAGACTATGGCGAGGAGCTCACGATGCTGTCTTTATTGACAAATAAAGGCTGACAAATACCGCGTAAAAGCGGGAAGAAAGAACCAAGGCACGTGTGGCCAAATCTAGCAAGTGTTTGCTAAAAGGGTTCTTGAGCGTCTGTCCAGACGTGAGAGAATGCTGGCGCCAAGCACGTGCGTTGATGCGGGCCATGCGATGAATCAGCTGTGTGATGCGCAGACTGGACTCTACCCAACGCGAGCGTATGAACGCTGAGTAGTACTGCGAGAGAGGAACGAGAGAGCAAGTACAGCTCAGTGTGGCGCATGCGGTATATCCACTTCAGTGGAGGCCTAAACCTTTGGTCGGAATGGAATACGGAATACGGAATGATTTCTCGGAACGGAATACTAATATACGGAATAAAATTTTCGGAATACGGAACGGAATAATAATTTCAGTCGGAACGGAATCTATCGATAAAGCGGAACGGAATGACTTTTCATCGGAACGGAATAAAAAATTATTTTCTAATAATGTTAATTTTTCTAACGGATGGTTTAATTTTGCGCTTGCGCGCGAGTCTATATAAGCGGCATTTCCAAATACAACCAGCCGGCATCAAATGCCGCTGGGAGAGACTTTTTCCCTCTCTTTCCTTTCGGCCGTCTGATATCAGTCTAACTCGCTTACTTATGCCAGAAGTTTCCTTCGTAGTCTAACTGAGCAGAATTCAGGTAGACTACGTTTCCTCTGTTTCCCTTTGGCCGCCGGTTACCAGTCTGACCAGTGTACACTAAACGCAAAACATCTTTTGTTTTAAAACAATGGGAAGCGTATACCGCCTCGGCTTCTCCTGACTGATGCAACACTTGCGCATTCATAACGCCAATAAGAACAAATTAACAGCTGATTACGAAAAGCTTGAAGCAGTGCAAGGAATGTACGAAATTGGCCAGATGATCAAAACAGTCTGCAGTCTGGACATCTTACGTATCACGTTGTCGAATACTGTGAAGTGCGTTTCTGCGGCGTGTGCGCCAATCAAGTATAACTGATTTGCAGTTTTTAATCGGTTTTATTCTTTCTTCTAATGCGGACTACAGTGGAGTGTTGTAAATAGCTGAAATTACCGTGTTTTTTGTTACTGGGAATTTCGGATTACTGTTATACCTGCGTAATTCCAGTACCATGTCCGGTAACGACATCTGCCGCGAAGATGCTAACGTAATGTAAGCAAAATGCTGTAATCTCTTATGGTACATATTAAAGTATGATATCTACCGTCACAATCAGTAGATGTGAGTGCAGCAGTATCGATATTACTCAATTGGTAAAATGTTATAGCAGAAATTTCTGTTTGGGGAATGTGTTGTTATTGTAAAAAAACAACATTTATAAATTTGGCTTCCGTTCTCAGCGCTTAAGAACTTTACGATGATATCAGGTTGCGTCAGTTGGTGTAGTGTATTGTTATGCGTTACGTTCTGCAGCATGGGCGCCTGGAAGTGCTAACTGTTGTCGGAGGTGGCCGGCGGCACTGTGGTCAGTGTACCGCCGGCCAGGAAGTGTTAACTGTAGTCGGAGGTGGCCGGCGGCACTGTAGTCAGTGTACCGCCGGCCCGGAAGTGTTAACTGTAGTCGGAGGTGGCCGGCGGCACTGTAGTCAGTGTACCGCCGGCCCGGAAGTGTTAACTGTAGTCGGAGGTGGCCGGCGGCACTGTAGTCAGTGTACCGCCGGCCCGGAAGTGTTAACTGTAGTCGGAGGTGGCCGGCGGCACTGTAGTCAGTGTACCGCCGGCCAGGAAGTGTTAATCACAGGTGGCCGGCGGCACTGTAGTCAGTGTACCGCCGGCCCGGAAGTGTTAACTGTAGTCGGAGGTGGCCGGCGGCACTGTAGTCAGTGAACCGCCGGTCTGGAAGTGTTATTGGAAGTGATATCAGGATTTGTTTCTATGAGTGTGTTTTTGTTCCTAAGGATACAAGCGGCGTTAGCGGTCACGACAGTTCAAATTTGCATGGTTACGGAATTGATAACAATTTGACAAATTGAAAGTATTATTTCAAATTTACAACTGATACGGAATTCCTAGTAATGCCAAATAATCAATAATTGTAGGGATGTGAGCGGCATCAGCAACCATGGCAGCTACCACTCGGGTCGTGATGAAAGTGAAAGCACCATTCTTGAAGAAGAACCGGAAGTACTGGAGGCTTCAACGGCATCGGCGCGCACTAACCACGACGAAGACGTCTTCGACGTTGTTGATGCATCGGACGACGACGACACTCACTGGGATGGGAGTTACAAGAGACGCAAGTAAGTTACTATCAAAATTGCGTACATGCACGAAATCTTTCACTTGCACGGTTTGGCAGTAATGGCTGTAAGAAAATTCCAACAAGTTGTTATTTTTTAAATATTTTCTTAATTGGTTCTGGCTTGGGTTGTAATATAGATCTTTTCCTTGATAGATTTGGCGACTACGTGTATCTAAAGGCACCAACCGGGGAACGAGAGCGATTCAACCTCTGTATGCAGCTGTTGCAAGATGACCCGGAAGAGACTGAGGAGCTTCTGAATACGGCGGCCCCTATCGGATTTAAGGGCACTGGTGTATTTCTGATTCAAAAAAGCCCATGGACGATTTATCGACCTTCAAGTTAGACGGTGTTGCAAACTGGAAAAGGAACGGGTCAAACAAACCAGTGGGACCAGCATTATGTACATATTATGTAACTGAGGACTGTCTGAATTACCGCAAAGACGCCTATGAGCTTCAGGAGTGCGAGCCTAACCATCGGTTGAATCGTGCAGTAGTAGATTACAGATGGGCAACAGGAAGTACACCAGTTAACTTTACTATGGCAGCCCGCGAAAATGGAGG